GTTGCAATAAAGCAGTTAATAGATTAGGGTGTGGGTGTGGGTGTGGGTGGTGTCGGTATGCATCAATGTGGATGCGGGAGAATGGGAAGATCCGCCCACACACCCACCCACAGCCAGATCCACACTCACCCACGCCCACGCCCATACCCACCCACACCCTAAATTGTTAAAAGCTCGAAATTAAAAAATAAAATGTTTTTTTGTCGCAGTTCTATACTCTTTTATTACATATTTATTTCAATCTGCACCTTCATCCAATTATATACTCTCTCCATGTTATTGGTTTGAATTATTTCTTTATCTATCGAAGTACTTTGACAAAACTACACAATAATATTTCTACATATTCTTTTTTTGTTGACATCATTTCGATATGCTTTCGAGAATAGAATAAAGTAAGCATGATCAATAAAATGTAGACATTGAGATTTACTAGATCAATCTTCGAAAATAACGCGCGGATCGAACGTTTTTTATGACAGAAATAAGAAGTTACCTAGAAAAATCACTGAAAAAAAGATTCAATATGCATGTTATTATAACTGCACTAGCCTAAAATTTACTTTCAGACCATTTAAAGATCTGTTACTAACGTCAAAACTATGAGTCTTATAAAAATTCTGAACAGAGATTAGGAAAGAATAAAACATTCTGGTTCTTACCTAATATTGTAAAATTTCTACTGATGTTTTTGATTGATTGAAAAGTTTCCAGCCCAGTCGTTAAATAGTGAGAAAATAAAATTTAACTACAAGCACTTCTTTTCTAGGTAGAAAAGAGACAACTATGCATTGTCAATAATCGAATTTGATGATGCCGCCAATAAGTGTCCAATATTATCATATTTACTTAAGAAGTTGAATAAAAGTGACGTAGCTATTCCAACCATTGTTCTTGCTTATTACACACTTTTTCAATCATATCGTATGATTAATCAATGGGATAATGGTCAATAATATATTGAACAGTTTCAACACATATGTACCAGTTTGGACATCAATTCTAGAGAAGGTTATGACAAAACAATTGTTAAATTACTTCTTGCTACAGCTTTCTTTTATTTAGGCTTACTTGACAAAGCATTAAATTTAATAAAACAACTTCCAGAAACTGTAACTGACTTAGTTGATGAATTAGTATCGATGTGCGGTATAAAATGTTTTCTATGTCTAACAGATGTACAACATATTATAGATAATGGTTTAACACTTGAATTACCTTCTGCACTGTCAGAATGTGGTGATCCAAATGAGACAATTCATGTTAAATCATAACTAATTAAACACAAATTGCCCTTACTTATTGTTGGTCACGGATATGATTGTTATAAGATGCGTTCATGACGAATTCACAAACTAACAATTTTGGATGAATTAAAAAAATGGATGAGCCGTTTATCAGTGACAGGTGTGCGCATTAATCAGCAAGAGACTACTTAATTGTTTTCCATTGTCAAGAATTTCATAAATAACTTTTTTTTCTTTCTTATAAGAATGAAAAGACAAATTTAGTGGTATTCATTAATTGAATTTTTTTATATCATTGATCTCATGTACGTAAACTAGTATATCATGTCTGTGTACGACGTAGTAATGTTGGTAGCAAAGTTGTCATTCAAATCTTCGGTAATGCGCGTGTGCATTACCGAAAATATTGGTACAAGCATATGAATGAGCGGATATGAACAAAATATAAACATCCATTTCTTGTTAAGAAATACATTTGATATCAGAATCTTGAGATCCGATTTTGAGGGAACTATTTTTGATCATGACTAAAAATAAACAATTGACAAACTAAGATTAAATGCGTAGAATAGTCGTCTCATCATTGATTCTTGATTGAAACTCGACAAACATTGTTAACTTATCAAATGACATCGTATGAATAAAAAAACAAACCAAAGTTAGAATGGACTTGTTCACATGAGAATCTCATGACTTGAAATGAATTTCTTATTAGCAATATTTCAGACTCAATTAAACCACACCCCACTCGAAATTTTAATTTGCTTTAAGGCATGTTTTAAAGAGTCTCCTCTGACTAGGAATAGGAATATTCATATAAGATTAAATTCATCAGAAGAACTTGCTGATAATGATTAGTTTGTTCAAATACGAATTTAATTGAAATAAAATGTGTATATAATACCGTCGTTTAGAATATTTACAAATATGATTAAAAAAAGTCTAGTTATTTTTTGATAGTCACTGAAGAATAATTCATTTCTTAATTTTATTTCTTATTTTAAAAATTGAAAATATGTGGCTAACAAATGATAAACATTCGTTCAATATGAGATCATTATCTGCATTCTGACAAGCATTGAACAAATGCAAAACAACAAAGAAGACATTCCATTGTTACTGCACAGCATTGCATACATTCCAAGCAAAATAAACTAAATGAAATACTATTGTTATTTTCAGTTAACGCTACTTTTGTTTCATTGCCATTTTCACCACCAGTCAATTCTGGCGATTGGTAAATGAATTAGTTGGTTGTATTGGTGAATAATTATACGGTGGTGAAGAATATAAATTTGATGTGTCTGAATTCATTTTTTTTACCTTGATGATGACAAGAACAAATATGCTTGTATTTATGTTGTCTTATTATATGGTTTATAATGAAGTCATTTTTTCTTATCTTGGTCAATGTTTACTGAATGAAGAATATGACAAAAACAAATAGAAATACCACGTGTATTACTCATTTGTACTTTAAAATAATATATAATACGAGTCATTTGCATGAAACGATTCTTCAATTTATTTATTTCTTTATGATTTATTTACAAATCTAGCAGATTCAATGCTCAGTTCCTGTATAAAACAATTTGATGTTTTTTTTTATCTCAAAGGTAATTTATTGAATAAAGTAATTAAAATATTAAAAAATAAATGGTCATACATTTCACTTGACAAAAAAAAATCATAAAATCTTAGGCATAAAAATTTTATGATGTGACCCTTCTTCATCATAATATTCGAGTAATTTTCGTTGATGTCTCTCCAATTACACTACTAAATTCAGTTGCAGTACGACTCGTGCACAATTCACTTGTTGCCGACTTAAATTCTTCAAATAATAAAAATTTCCATGAAAAACTGAAACATTATCAAGAGATCAGCGTTCATAATCATGACAATGTTGAAATACAATAATAACAATGTACTATTTATGCATAGACTTAAAAATTACATGGTAATGTATTATCAAGTGCAACTGCTAGTAAAATTGTCAACAAACTAATGTTAACAAATGAATTTTGATCTCTGTTAGCATTCACTAAGAAAAATATACATGATTTGACAAGTAAGAGAGAAAATGGATACTTTATCGTTTATATATAACAAAATAATCATATCATAGTTGTTCTTATTGCTTCTCGATTCTGTCGCATTTTCTCATTATCTTTCATTCATGATTATAAGAAAAAGAACTGTTATATTATGTCATTGGATATTGTGTACATCGACATGAGTACAAGTTTAAATGCAGATTTTTTTTTAATTGAAATTGTTAATTCATATATGCAAGAGTTACTAATTTACATACAAGACAAGTTTACATGAGAGAAAACGAGATAAAGACATAAGCAGAGAATGGACAGCATTATCGACACAAGTATTCTCCTCTTTGCTCTTTTGACACAATACGTGTTGTGATTCGTTGACTTTTTATTGTTTAGTCATTGAATAGACAATACATAACATTGAACATAGAGCTTTACTGAAGAGTTCAACATTGAAAGTTTGTCCTTGATCTTATTAAGCATTAGATTTAACATCTTCAGATGATCGACGACAGGTTTGTGATGAATGATTGATAGATTGGAAGAAAAGTAAGTCTCATCGCATCAATCTAGACGTGGAGTCACCAATAAGAGACAAGTTCAAGCTATTAGTCAAATCTATTTTCATTCAAAAAATTTGAAAATAGATGAATTCTGATGAAAACAATAAATAGAATCTCAATTCTTAGATCGTGTGAATTCTAACTGACCTTATGAGTCATGCGTCACTGTCGATAAAATATTAATTTGGAAAATGCATACTCATCAAAGCAAGAGCAAAACTAGATTTCATGACGTTGATATCTTTAGAAACGAATTTTTTTCCATCCATTGGCGTGATATGAAGATAGTATCTTGCAAGAACTGTCATTTGAATACCTTGTATGCTGACAATACATCTAATTCTACGTCGTATTGATTCATTCAATTATTGTTCAAATTTCGATGATCTAATCGCAAAAATGATGAACTCTTTGAACAAAAGTATCATTGAAAAACTCTGGCTCAGATCAGATAACAGATTTACGGTTTATTGTATTCTCATTGATCAGGAACGAATAGAATAGACCGTAGAAATATTTCATGCAAATTTTGATTCCTATGAAAGGAAAAAAAACTCGCATACCGTATAATTTTAGACGATTAAACAACAGCGAATAATCTATACGACTTTAATCAAGTTTTTGCCCAGTTTTACATTAATAATCTGTCAATTGTTAATTCTTTCCCTACAGCATTTTATAATAGGCTTTGACTTTAGTAACGTGCAAATAGTACATAATTCGACGTTGTTTTATTTTATTCGAACGGTCGTGTTTTTTTTAAATAACGAAATAACGCAGATATAGTTGATGATAATTGACCTTGTTATCAAACCTGTGCAGCGAAGAATACAAAAACATAATCTTACCTGCATTAGTTTAGAATTACATCAAAAAGAAAAATGTTGCTGAAGTCATTTCTTGCCTTAATTCTATTACACAACGTTGCATCCTTGAAATGTAACAAGTGCAATTATGAAAATACAGTTAATTACACCATTTCTGTCCATTCAGTCCCATCAATGCCATCCAACTGTACACTTACGGACGCATTACATGATTGCTCTATTGAGATTCACTGGCTGAAAACGCCAATACAAAGTTCGATAAGATATGATGTGGACTCATTTATTGTCCCATCATCCTACTATCATGTCTTCATGAGTGTTGAGCATCGAGCACGTGGATATGCGATGCAACAGGACATTCATACTCTTATCTTTGCTTGCAATACAGATGGATGTAACAATGTTACAACATTAAAACGAATTATCAATGCCTTAACTTTAACAGAAAATTTGAATGAATTGGAGTCGCTTCTTGCACCAGGATCTTATCCATCATTCACCGAGCAAAAATCATGTTTGAATATTTCGAACGCAACAACAACTAATCAATGTACACCAGGTGCATCATCTATGTCCAACTGTGTTGGTTGCCAAATTCAAATGAAATCAAATATATTTTGTGCTCAATGTGCTCCGAGATTTTCCATAAGAATAGATGATTATATGTTACGAAGTAAAATATTTTTCTTTGATAATCGCACGCAAATCGAAAATATTGAACTTTTCTGCCGTGTGAAAGGTTGTAATGCATTGAGTAGTATTGATAAAATTCGTCAAGCAAGTACGCTCGAATTTAATTTTGATAAATTTTTCAATGGTACTTTTCCTTCCTCTTCTTCTGGTCATGTTCTTCAAACAATCAACATTTATCTTATAATGTTCATCATTATTATCGGGCAAAGATTTCATAGGTACAATTCGATCATTTAATTGAACAGATTTATTTTACTGAAAATAAAATGTTTCTTTTTCTGTTTACTATTTTAGTGAGTAAGTGATAAGAAATTTTACTTTATTCACATTAGATTGAATTTAAGAAAATCGTCAAACACCTGTACTTAGATTTTAAAGGACTGTTAAATATCAGTACTAAAAACTTTATCATTTAAATCGACGATAATTTGTTGAGCATTCATAGCTATTTGGTTCTTGGACACGGCAGAAGAACTCTTTGTTTTGTCAGCGATAAGTGATCCATAAATCACATAGTATACCTGATGTATCTTCTATAGTAGAATTGACCTTGTAGTCCTTATTTCATTCATCAAAATATATATAACCTACAGGACAACTTTTCCTTAGAAACGTGTCTGGTTACCGCCTATCTTTGTTGGTCCAAAGTAGTCGAATAAAGTTCCTTGTTGTAGAATATTGTTAAGCCGATTCTGAACAGTCCGCAGCTAACAAAAAAAAACTTCATTTAATTCTGTTTTCCATGATATATGAAAAATGTGTGTAAATTATAAACATCTAACAAGCAGTTTTCAAAGATACTCTAAATGACCGTGGTCATCAATCGATTTTCTGAAAAACTACTGAAAAGACACATTATATAACTTTATTTATCTTATAGATGATGAAAACATCTTTGATAGAATACATAAAGTACCATTGGATTTGCTGTCACAATGACATATAGCCATACGAAATTCGTCTGCGGAAATGAAGATGCCATGATCAGTTCCATTACAATTATTATAACAGAATATAGGTGGTCTATTACATGTTTTCACAATATTTTCAATGAAAACGGCTTTGCTGATAACGCCAGGATCATCAGGAAATCGAGTTGGTCTCAGTTGATCAGCTATATATTTGATATGAAACTTTGTAATAAGTGAATTTTTTGGCACAGTTTTTATCCATTCGTGAATATCCGTCATACTTGAATCTCTATGTAAATGTATGGAATGTTCACATTGTATTTTATTGCCAAAAAGGTTTTGCACAGGTTTGTTACAACCTGATTTGATCTTTATATTCGATTGCAAAGACGAAGCGTGAATTTGCTTCTTATTTACTGTTTATTCCATTTAATTTTAATTGATCAATATCTTTTGACTTGACAATTACAAGATTTTGTATTTGACGGCCTAACAAAAATTAAGTTGCAAAACAAAGTCAAAATAATCAATGATAAAGATAGATATATAGTATAGTACTTATGGACCACTCGCATTAGAAGAAGGCATATTTTCCATGGCATAGACAAAGTTATTGAATAATTCTGCTATCAGTTGGAATAAAGATAGTTTAGAAAAGTTTACTTTAATAGAAATGAAAAAAGACTTTCATATCATTCTTGATGATTGTATTAAGCATACGAGTAATCTCTGTTGAATAATCATAACCAGAATTATATCCAAAGACAATCTTATGTGAATTCTCTAGCAAACGCTGATCATTGTTTCACACTTTTATATTTGGTATTACAAACTCATATGCATATTGCTCAAGCTAGGAATGTACTCGAACATACACTTTCTAATAGTTTTACATATAATCACCGACATCCAAATGTTTCTTTCATCCAGATCTTTTCAAATTCATTTTTACAAGATATTATCGAAAAGAACGTCCTGGTAAAGTAAGAGGCAGAAGCTGCAATACTTCTGGATAGTTAGATGATTGCTGTAAATATTTGTTTTTCTTTTCATGCATGTTATTGGATGAATCAGATTAAATTATCGATCTTTATCGATTACATTCTACTCTATTGTTTAGTTTTATTTTCAAAACAAAGTATAGTATCGAGAACAGTAAGCAAAGCTTTAAATTTGATGCAGAATAACAATTTCAAATGAGGTTATTTTTGTTTAGAAATTTCGAAAATATGACATGCTTAAATTATAACATTTTGCACTTTTACATTAATTAGAAAGTTCTTACGTATCTGTTCAGTTTTTGTTGTGACATTCGATCTTTTGAATTTTTATATGAATGCTAAGATTGTAGAGTATGTGTCACAGAGAAGCTGTGTAACAAGTTGTGATCCTTTCAAGTAATATTCTTTTCTCATACATTTATTCAGTAGAACATGCTGATATTTGCAGCATATATACAAGATATTTTGATCTACTCTACACTCAAATTTCAGTTTTCTATCTCTCACAGTCAAAGAGAGACAAGTAACAAAAAGCAATAAGGGTGTGGGTGTGGTGTAGGTGTCTATGCGGGTGTGGGTACAGATGTTTTTGATGAAGAGGTGTTCCACATCCACACCCTTAACCTCTGTTGACTCACGAATGATTGGTTTAAAAAATTAACCAGCAAGTGAAATATAATTGAGATAGAAAATTTACAAAAAACCGAACAAAATCTGGAGAAAATCTCGGAAAAGTTTCAAAATCAAGAATTTTTTCGTAAAACTCAGAATATCTCGCCATCCTGGCAATGACTCTGAAATGCAAAGAATTAGTAAGTTACGCTATTCACTATCTAAAACAGAAGATTTGACATCATCAAAATTTATCGAGATTTGATCGTATATCAATAAAAAATCAAAGATTATTTATTTCTTAAAAATGTGTTAGTAGTTCATAATGACCAATCGAATTATTCTCGATTAGAATATATGTGAAAATATATACAGTTATTAAGGCCACTCACACATAATATTCGTAATATCTGACATCTCCATACAACTAACCAGCCGCAGCACTAGGTTTTGTACTATAATGGACATAACCTTGACCTTTGTTTTCATAATAAAGGAAATAATTGTCGTTCAATGTATCGTATGTCATAATTTTATCCATTGAAAGAAACACATTTCTCATTTCTTCCCCACGTTGTGGTCGAACTTCTTTACAACAGTAGCATCCTTTTGGATTGGAACTTATCATTCTTTTTTATCATCTAATTTGATAGATAATGTATGCAATTTTTATCGTAAGCTTTTCCACAATTACAACTGTGTTAAAACGACGCCATGTTAGACGATTTGTATGCCCTTAAATACATCATAGACGATCGTGTTTTTCCAAGTCAACAGAATTAATGGACCAGAAGCTATCGAAATATATTTTATGAAAAACTCAGCAACAAAAGAGTTGCACAATTGAAACAAAAGCGAATGTGAAAAAGGAGTTCAAGCTTTGATAGAGTAGTATTCATATTCATGAGCAAATCAATCAGTGATATCGTTGAAATTCGCTGTCAAACAAATCATTTATAAACAACTTTCTTTTGATTGAACAAAGCTCAATCAATTACCATTATCCAACAGCTTCAAACTATTTTTAAATTCGTCATTCAATGAAAATTAAGGCATTTCAAAATATCTAACATAATATAATCCTAATTGAGCAATATATTATTTCAAAGTTATTTTTAAGTAAAATCAAATTATGTTGACAGAATGTTAATATCTATGCATTCAAGCTACAGTTGCCAGATCTTCTGGAAATTGTTGGATTTGATGGTTTCTCCTGTATCTTCGCTATTTTCTAAATGTACAACATTTAATTCATTGCCAAAGCGTCTGATGATAATTTATTCATTAATAATTAACAAAATCTTACTTCAGGAAAAGTTAGAAGAATTAAATTGAAGATTTGTTGAAACTGCTCTGTAACTTGTACAAACGTTTATTATCTTTTCAAATGTATTCATTTTAATCGATATATTCCATCAAGAAAAGGAAATGTTTATGAAGATAGAATTTCTTTTTGCGTTATTTTTTCTTTGATTGAATTAAATATTTGTGAGTATAGGTGAAGATGATATCTTTATCCACACACCTTACTTTCTAGTGGCTTAGTTATTTGTTGCAGTGGTGCCGTTTTGTGTCCTGTCAATGTGCTTTTTCTTATTGTTTCCATTTTTGACATTATTAGTTTTCATTTTAAGTTAAAAAAATAATTCATTGATTGTACTAAAATTGAAAACCAAGCCTCTTATTTTATTAGGCAAAAGAGCACGAGTTAAAATTAAATTCCATGATATGAAGAAAGTTTTAGTAAATAGATGGGTTTTTTCTAAAGAGCATATGTTAAAAATACCTGCTACCTATTGAAAACCGTCCCATTATTTGATTTCAGCGTTCTACATTATTACGGAAACTGTCTTCTCAATGGTGAATATCTTAAATAAAATGCATGTTATTTCCCGACTTTTACCTATACATAGTGACAGTGAAAAGTGCATCTGATACTGTGAAATCTTCTTTTTAAAGAATTTCTATTTATTCTGACCAATGTATATTTTTGTTGACGAGATTCGGTTTGGGTCTACAATGATGTAATGTTTACTCGACCATTGCTTATCAAAAATGTAAAATCTGTGTTGTTTTTCATTATAAGTTTATATGAATGCAGTAGTACTCTCCGCTTAGTTATTTTTCTTTTTATGAGTTATTGATATCAACAAAAGTCGAAAATAGTTAGGTTTCTGATTCCATCTGACATCATTTTCATGACAGATTAATCATCTTATCATTCGAACGAGTTTTGCTTGGCTTGTTTGAATAATGATTTGAAAAATTTTCGCACAATCATTAAATCTTCCTTTATCAATCAAATCGATTCTAATGGTGACATAGCTTTTCATTTTGTATGCTCTAAAGGTTATATTGAACTCGTTAAACTTCTATTGCGATATCATGCTTCTCGAATAATTCAAAATAAAGAAGGATTAACTGCTGAGTAAGTAGCAGCAAATGATGATACAAAAGATCTTTTTAAATACCAGGAAAGACCGAAATCAGATTCGAAACATTTTGTGGCTACATAAAGAAAATTCAATTTTCTAGCGACACATAAATACGAAATAAAAGATTATTTGAAGTTTACAATTGAATGGGAACAACCTGCAGGATTAATTTCTGCTTATAGTTGTGGTGAGATCGACTTCTATAGCGTTTTAAATTGTGGTTTGACCGAAATTGGTTCAAACTTTTGTTTTCTTAGCTCCCAAAATCTATTTAATCC